TTTCTCAGAGTACTGTCGTTTAGCTTCTCTCACCGCCTTGCTAAACTTGTACTTTGACTCCTTATCTCCTGTCCCTGTCCCCACGCTTGCTCCTTCTGCAACTTTAACTGTTTGAGTTTTTTCTAGTGAAAGAGCTCCGGGTATTACAGCTAGTAGTCAGTTAACAAACAAAACAAGAAAAAACAATGCGCACCAACACAAAGAGGCAACCGTTCATGGCGCCATCTTAGGTTATACCTATATATATAAAATCATGCAGGTTGTCCACATCAGGTCTCTGAGCTTCTCCTTGCTTGGGGCCTGTATCTAGGATCAGTGTGGGATTGTTCCAGATGGTCTAAGAACTAGCTAAAATACTTCCCTCAATAAAGATGAGTTGGCATCTGTAGAATTCCCTTTTCCCTATTGTTAGTATTTTGAATATGGTCAAGGCAGACGGCCACCCACCTACAGCTGGGGTCTGTCTGAGGTTTCTACCTCTTAAAAGGAAGTTTTTCCTTGCCACCGTCACCAAGTGCTTGCTCATGGTGGGAACTGTTGGGTCTCTGTAAATAATTTTATAGAGTACAGTCTAAACCTGCTCTATTTGAAAAGTGTCCTCAGATGACTTCTGTTATGAGTTGGCGCTATACAAATAAAATTGAATTGAATTGTAGAATTTTTCTGATGAATTCCAATTTGTAAAAGCTTCAAAACTAATTTGTTTGAGAAGTAAATGTGCCAAATATTATTTTGATCACATGGTCCAAGGAGCTCAATTCCACATTGCTAATTCTATTACTCACATATTAAACTCAAAGTTTAGATTATATTCTGTTGAATAGATCACTTATGACAAGAGGCAACTGTTTATCTCTGTTAGGCTGATGGTTATTTTGATAGTATTATGAAATTTGTATGAATATAACCTCAGTCTTCTGTGGGTTACAATATCTGCAACCCAACTGTGATGTGGCACCTACCTACAAGACCCCATTTTGGTGTGCGAAACAGGGATGTGTCTGAAATTACGTAATATTGGTCATTCGTATTGTTAGTCTCAGACTAATCAGCTCACCCTGTTTGTTTAACCTGAAAAACGCCCTCACAGTGAGGATGATCACATTTATTATTCAAAATGGAAGAACCAATCTTCTCCAGGATTTGACCTTTACGCTTTGTGGATTGTGTGTTTGTATTGTGTTTTTCAAGATATTTTTTTCTTGGCACTTTTTACCTTTATTGGATCGGAGCTGGACAGAGACAGGAGAGGGGCAAAGGCCCCAGGCTGGAATTGAATGTAGCTGTATGTGTTTATGTTTATTGTGCATTTCACATTCCTTGTTTCTGCCCAAATTGTATAGCCATCCAAAGTTCACCCTATAACAAAATTTGAATTTTTTCATAATCAGGGGTGAAAATTATGAATTACTCACATTACTGTAATTAAATATTTTAAGTCTTAACTATGCATTACACTATGTAATCTACCCTGCTGCTTTTAAAATCATAATTCGAATTTATACCCTATATATATATATCTATATTTTTTGGTACCGAAGGTTCACATAAGGCAGAAGCATTACAACACATCCCATGTCTGTGACATATTCTACAGATATAGACATTAAAAGTGTAGTGAAAGGTGTATATGTTGCTGGTATAAAGTGGATATGTCTATGAACAGACCCTTTTCACTGTTTATTTTTGCTAGGAGTGAAGCCTTGCTGCAGCAGCAGCTGAGACGTGACATGCACAACTCGTGCTGACAGTGTGGCTGCTCTAACCTACTAACATGGGTATCAAAATAAAAAGGCAGATGTTCTGCTAAGAACTGCAGATGCAAGTATTGACCGGGCCTTATTCTTGAGCAAAGATTTTACTCTTTACATTAGTGGTCACTATTGCTTAGTAGTATAATGTTCTATAGAGTTGGTTGTCACATGTTCTAATGGTGTGCTTCATGTAAAGCTGTCAAAAGGAAAGTCAGTAAAGGTCAGATAAATCATTTTACATTTTTGGTGTGTCCATCTGAATATATACTCATTATTTTTTTCAAATACAATCCATGATTCCGTCTTGCTATTTTTCCATTTTTTTAATGGTCCTGGAAACTTTTATTAACAATAATTCAAAACATTCTCTTATGGTTCATCACAGTTACACAATGTATTTAATACTGTCATCTTGTTCATTAGTCAACAGGTAAAAGACAAAAGATGTTACATTACAGAGGAGTATGAAATTGTTGGAATAGTATTGAATTGATTACATAATGATGTGAGATTAAGATGTGGTCACTAATGTACCAAATTTGAGCCTTGCTATGCCCTGCCCCTTTTTCACTCTGTTCTCTATTATATATTATATATTGATTTATTTTGTTATACCTTTTTATTTATCATTTGTTATTCTATGATTGATGATGATTATCTTGTTCTATGTGTGTAGCATGAAGGAACAACTTTTTAATTTTGTTATACAAACTTGTGTTGTGTAATGATGAATACATTTCCTTGATTCATTGATGTAAATTAGCTAGCTAGTTAGCTAGTGTTTTGCTGAACAGGCCTCTTATGCCTTTTGAAGACAGTTAAAAGAGAAGAAGCAGCTACATATTCACATCTTAAATTGGCTATTATTAGCTAAATGTTAGCTAACTGGCTAACTAACGACTCTGTGTTTCCATCGCTTGGTGCTCAAACCAAGTCAAAGTGGATGGACACTGTTTCTTTTTATGTGAAGATGAAACCATATTATCCTCACTAGCTCATTGCTGCTGTTAACATTCTCCCAAATGTAAATTCAAAAGATGCACTGCATAATTATATATATAAATAACTAAATATTGATTTATTTTATGTTATACTATTTTATTTATCCTTTGTTATTCTATTAATTTGATTATCTTTTTTCTATGTGTGTAGCATGAAGGAACTACAAACTTTCATTTTGTTATACAATGTTGTGTTGTATAATGATGAATACATTTTATTATATTGTATTACTTTATTAATCC